TTGTGTTAGTAACTTGTACCTACTAATATTTACAAATTTGTAATGAATATTTACTGAAAAATTATAAAGTTTTTTTTAAAAATGATCAATAAGTTCTAAAAATTTTTAAATTGCCTTATTGGCCACTTCTTAGGATTTTCAGCTCAGCAATCAATTTATGTAATCAAATTCATCCTCCAGTTTAAATGCCGAAAAAAATGTTTTCTTAAGAATCATAGTAATTGCATTGATTGATGTGTCTCTCATACTTAATACAACTTGTAGAGGGTTTATCTACTGAATGTTTTAGCTGAAGTGAAAGAGGACCTATTTATCAAATTATATATCAAACATATTATTTGTTTGCTTAACCAGGGATACTTCAAAAATCATCATAACACAACTGCGAAAATAATACCCAAACAAAGAAAACAAACAAACAAAAACAAAATGGTGAAACCAGGAGAAGTCCATTAACATTCTCTGTCACAGTTCTGTTCTGGTTTTATATCTGTTGTTTCAGGCACCCACAATGACAATCTTAATAATTACTACTGAACTGAGACGCAATTATTTATAAGGCCTATAGGATAGTTAGCAATTCCAAAATGAAGACAAATAACTTCCCATCTTGAGAGACTTCTGTTGTGGTACCTGTAGGTCTTTAATTTAGTCCTGAATCGCTAACAGCCTGGGTCTTGTGTTATTTCATCTTTTAATGTACTCAAGTGCATGGATGAATTTGGCATAAGGCACATGTCTATGTGGTTGAATTGGTTGTTTTTCTGGCTTGATAGTATAATATTACAGAAATGACCAAAGCATGATTTCACCACACTTGACTCATCATCAAGCCTTCTGTATTGGTAATGTCTGACTTTCCGGAAGTCCCTTAATACTCATTACTCCTCATCTTCCAGCAGCTAACTTTAATAACATGATAAACCCCAGTTTTGTCCATAAACATTCACAAATAAGGAAAGAAAGGTACAGCTGGCCAATTCCCTTCACAGACAAGCAGCTGACTGGTCTTCTTGGCCTCTGACTTGGTAAAGTAGAGAATGATATGTAGACAAATAACCATCTAAAACAGCATGGAAATATTGAATTTCATCCATACATTAGTTAAATTCCTTGAATTAACCATTCCCTAATTTCTTGACATTAATTGCAAGTAAATTCTACTATTTACTCAGCTAGCAATGAATACGTAGCAAGTAGAAAGTAAAGACAAGGAGGGAATAGAACAGAAACATTGGATCACTTAGAGAAGTGTCTACACAGAAATAAAATATCTTCTGAAGCATATTTATTCTTGAGACTTTTATAGACATTTAAATATCATAGCTTTGCATTCACTAGCTGTGTTATCTTACTGTTCCTGTGACAAAAATACCACATATAAAGGAATCAACTTAAAGGAGAAAAGGTCTAGTATTGCTCATGGTTTCAGAAGATTCAGCACATGAAGGACCTAGTCACTTTTAGATCTAGACCACCATGACAACAAAATTATGGGTGTAGATGAAGATGCCCTACTCACCTCATGGTAAGTAAGATGCAGATAGATAGATAGATAGATAGATAGATAGATAGATAGATAGATAGATAGAATGAATAGATGGGATTTCTAAAATAACCTTCAAGGGAACATTTCTAATAACTGATTTTTCCAACTATGTCCATAGGTTTTTATTATCTTCACTTAGTTCCATCTGTTGGAGACAACTTCTGCACATGAGTTTTGGGGCTGTATTTATAACTAATATCATAACACTAGTGGTGGCTTTGGACACATGAAGCCAAAGGCTGCCATGTATATGAAGTGCCTGGCTCTGCTTGTCATGAACAATAAATGGAGTAAATAAGGTGTTCCCACATATTCTCATGATAGGTAAACACAGCAATGGATATATCTTTGAATAGTAACCGACAAAATAAAATAACTTTTATGCAAGATTGTGTATGTCTGTGTACACCCTTACATATATGTCATTCACTTAAATTCTTCACAGATCCAAACTCATTTGAAATAGATATCATGTCCATTGTAGCCATTGTAAAACTGTATTAAACCAGAAAACAAGATTAAGAAAACACAGGGAAGAAGATTTAATAGTTTTTTTTAATGCTGAAATACTCAGTAATAGATACTTGTAGATTAATCGGTTGAATATTCACTAGTAGTAGAATAAAATTGTCAAGAAATATTTATGTAAACCTTAAACTCTTAGTGACTCCAGTAATAGCTTTGCATTATCTATATAAACTATGATGTATGAGGTGGCACAGTGACAGGAAAGAGGGCTGGGTGCCTGACAACCTTGCCTTCCTGTGGGTTATAATTTTGCAACGCATGGTCATAAATACAAAATCAAGTGCCGTCCCTGTCTCTTAATTAGGCTTACTCTATGTGCAGTACTCCAGTTTTTGTTTTATTTTTAGTTCTTCAGAATTCTAGACTGGCTCTCAATAAAACTGGGAAGCAATTTCTGAAGTATTCCCCTATGTCCCCACCCACCTTAACTTAGAGATTTCCTCACTGTCTTTTTGACATCCTATGCCCCATTTAATACCCTTTCCTTCTTCTTCCCTGCTGTATTCTGCTCCTAGCAAGCTTTCAATTAATCCCCACAGAGGTGTTAGCTGATAACTAAAGTGTTAACTGGAGTGTGAATACCCTTAGGACTATTAAATGTTGAAAGCAGGCTCTTTGAAGACCCAGATACTGAGATACAGAGAACTGAGGGAAAGAGTTCCCTGTCATTAATAACATCACACTTAGTGGACTTTCATTCTCACCACCAACATGCCCAGTCTGTTATGTCAGACAATATCGTTGATTGGCAAGAGATGTGCAAAGAGTTCTTCAAGGGGCGAGGAAGGAGCTAGACTCTAGAGCAGTACAAATGCCAAGTTGGGGAAGGCGGTGTCCACTTCTTCAGAGTTAAGAATAACAAACTTAGGATTTTCTTAGAAACACTATTCCACTGTCAGATCTGCACACAACTAGCATTGTTTTTACTTCAGCAAATGGTTACTCTGTTCAGATTCTTAGAAAGCTGCCTTAGAAAAGTTTCATAAATGTATTCCAATTGGCCATGACATATAGACACACATGTAATATACATATATAATATATATTACATATATAATATATATTACATATATATAGATGTCATTATAAAATAAGTGTGTGCTTCTATACCTTTACAGCGATCACGGCATTCCTCATATTAAAATGTATGATGATGAGAGGGGTTGGGATGTCAGATTCCTCATATATACCTTATTAAACGAAAGGTTAAGGAATTTAGAGGACCAGCTTGCTTTAAAAATTACTGACTTTTCTTGCATATCAGCATTGTACCTAATATCTGCTTAATATCTGCTTTTTATCATCTTAAAATTTAAAATTACACATTCTACAACATGATGAATTGAGAGGACAGTAAGTAAGTTCAAATTTTGAAGTAGAGAGGTGAAGATGGGTGCAGGAGGAAGAGTCATTGGAGGGTGGGTCTGCCAACTGTTCATGATATATGAAATGAAAATTTAGAAAAAGATGTCAAGCTTGTCTGTGACTAAGCAAAATGAGTATTTTTAAAAGAAATAATCTATATTATAGTTCTCAAATTCTTTGACATATTTTTACTATAATCAACATGTCTGTCAATTATAATTGTGAGTTTTGTAAAGATATTCTCTTTCATTTTTTATGGCATAAATGGGGAAATATAAATTTTATATGTTAATTTTTTCACTTTTCTTCATTTGTGCTAATAATTCACACTTCCTTTAATTCTGTATTTAAAGTAAAAAATTAATATCATTCAGTTTCATTTCTTTTAAAATACAATCTAAAAGTTGACACAAGTGAGAACAAAATGATAAACGTATAGAAGGTAGCTGTTGCTACTATTCTAATGACTATCTCCTAAATTTTAGAATAGATGAGAAATTTGCAAAGGTCATAGCTTGGGAAGGTCTAGTTTGCCTGATGAGTATAATTCAAATACAGATGGCTAACACTTTTGTAGTCTTCCAGTTTCCACAAATCTCTTGATTTACATACAGTGCTCAATTCAGCCTGCTTCCTGTAAGCACATGGAAGAGAATTTTTTCACAGGGTTCTGTAAGAGGCATGAGTTCTCGTGCCCTGTACCCTTCCTTCTGTGTGGTAGAATAGATTTGGGGAGCCAAATGTTTCCTTTCATCAGTGGTAGTTTGAAGTACAAAATCCTGGCTAGAGCCTCAAAGCTGTTTGACCCAGTTTAGAAGGTTGAAGTAGATAGCTTCTTTATTTATGCGCTTTAAGTTTTTGATTCAAGCACTTTCGCACACGGCACAGATACTGGAGAGATTTTAAAAAGGAGAAATGGATTGTGTGCGCTGAGCATGGCATGTTGGTGAAATCAAACACTTTGCCTGCCAAGCCTTAAAAGAGAATCCAGCCCTTTTCCACAATAGTTTGGCTCTGAAATAATGCGGAAGTTCAGGGAACAAAATTTGAAGACCTAATGCAAGGTCCTTTGATGATTTTACTTTAGATAAGGAGGCGCTGAGTTCAGGTCAGAGGCTAAAGAGAAGTCCAGTTCAGGTTCAGAGCAAAGTCCTATGGATTCTCACTCTGTGATGCATAAAGTTTTCTTCTGATCTCTTTCCTTATATCTGCCTGACCACCCCTGAAATTGTAGAACGGGAGTAGTAGAGAGGGAGATTCCATGCTGTCCTTTCAATCCAAGAGCTGAGAGAATGAGCTGGCTGAATGAACATGAGAACGAATCTCTTCTGGAGGCGAGAGGTTAGAAAGCAAAGGATTCATAGGCAAGGAGTCTATGGCATCCTCTGGCTTCAGCCAAGCTTCGCATCCGGAACTTGCTGCAGCTGGGATTCAGGGAGAGGAAGATGGGATAGGAGGAGGGGAAGACGGAGGTGGGGAGGGAGGGGTGAAGCGAGGGGAGCTGGCGAGGGATAGGCGCAGGGAGGGTGGGATGGGGGGAGCGCCGGGCGCAGGGAGCTGAGTGGACGGCTGAGACGCGGAGCGTGCAACCAGCTCCAGCGAGAAGCGAGTTGCCAGAGCCGGGCTGCGTTTCCATCAGGAGCGGCGAGCTCCGTGCCCGCTCCCAACAAGGTGATGGGCCGGCAAGCGTTTTATCTGGCCGCCGGGACTCTCGCTGCTTGGGGCTTCCTCCCTTAGACCCCCTTCTTCTTCTCCCTTGGGTCTGCGTGTGTGTGAGTGCCCTGGTTTGGGGGTGAAGCCTCCTGGAAGGGGACACCCCTGTCCCTGCTCCTCTCCCATTCTCTCCAATCCGTCCTCGCTGATGCATGCCTTCTAGGGGCGCCCCATCTTCACACCCGGTCTCTGACACCGCTTCCTACCCCTGGTTGTGTCTCCTTCCCAGATGCTCAAGGTGTCAGCCTTATTGTGTGTGTGTGCAGTGGCTTGGTGCAGCCAGACTCTTGCAGCTGGCGCGGCGGCGGTTGCGGCTGGGGGGCGGTCGGACGGCGGTAATTTTCTGGATGAAAAACAATGGCTCACTACAATCTCTCAATATGACAAGGAAGTCGGACAGTGGAACAAATTCCGAGACGTAAGTGATGCGCACTCATCTCCAGCCACGAGCGTTCAGCTCCAGGGCTGGCATTTGCCTTGGCAGCCGGAGGTGGGGAAGGGGCTAGCTTTTCTAAGGAACGGGGGACTTGTGGTGATAACGCTGACATCCTGTCAATAGAGAACTTAGTCTCCTTATCTTAAGTAGGGATTTGCTTGTTACATTTGCCTTTGAGTTAGGTCACACCAGGTTCTCTATCATCCCCTTTTTCACTTCATAGTACCCTAATCTTTTGCCCCCCAAGGTTGGCAAAGTAGCTGCTACGACCTTCTCAACTTTTGAATGGTGTTTCTGGCACTAGTAAACACAACAGAGGTGCCTCTGCGTGGCCTGGCTATAAAGTAACTAGGATCGATCTTCTTACTAATGGCCCATTAAGGAATTCGAGGGAGGAGGTACAAAGATGCAACATTTATAAATTCCTGCTCCCTGAGGGTGGGAGGTTGTTTGTCAGCATCAGTCTGCCGAAGTTGAATTGCTGATGATTACGTAAAATTGCTCATCAGATTCTGTTTCTACATGAACCCTGGAACACTTTGCTCTTGTACTGGGGCTGTACTCTGAGCCTTGAACTTGGCTGAAACCCCAGGAGGTCATTCTGACCCCTGGGTCCCATGCCTAGCCTACCCTGTAAAAATGAGGGGTTTGAGAATTGACAGAGTGATTCATATCGACATTTGTGAGAATGTTTTCTGAGTCAATCAGCAGTGCTTTCCCAGTCTGTGAGTTAACTTGTCCTATTAGCTCAGGTTCTCACGATTAGGAAAACAAATAGAGGCTTGGACTAATTCTCATCCTGGATACACCATTCTCTTCTCCCACCACCTCTGTCTTAACAGAGAGGTTGTGGAGAAATGCGCTTATGGCTTAAGTGTAAATCTAGATGTTACTCAGCACGGATACACGACGTGGAAAATGACCGTGCTCGATCTTAATGCATGACTCATTTTTGCTTTATGAATGAAATGTTAACATCACTAGTTTTGCTAAATGAAAGCTCTTTACTCTTGTAAATGCAGTCTTACCTACCTGCTTTAAGCTAACACTAATATTAAGTACATTGAGAAGTAAACAAGCAGATATCTTCTACCAACAGAGAATTGCCATTTATCATGCCCTTACTTGAGAAAAGAAATATTGAAAATTTTGGAAGTGTTTGAACAGTACTTCCAACATTGACATATATTTATTGAATAACGACTATTTTTTTTAAAAATAGAGTGTAGGCACCTCTAACACACCTTCAATCTTGAATATTGCAGGATTCCCTGGTTTTAGTTAAATCAGTTTCACAATAAGGGAAAGCATTTGAGTTTGACAAGCTGAGGTGCCTACTATAAATGTAAATATTCCAGGACTCATGCAGCCAAGTTCAATGGAAACAATACGTCTACTGCCTCACACTCAGGGAGTTTATGTGGTTTCACTGGAAAAGTCTATCAAAAAATGTAAAATCATGTACAAGGTTTCCCAATATATACTAACATGTGCATTTTCACATATGTAACTGATTTTTTTTAAAGTCATGTTTTAGGGTAGCCGTAGTAGAAGATCAGTTGTTTTTATGAAGATCACTGTGAGCAGACAGGAGCTAAAAAACACATGATTACATTTCACCTTTCTGTACCTGTTGCTCCTTGCTAATGATGAAATGAGAGCTGACAGTGTGGCTTCCATTCAGCACTCACGTGTGTCATGTGCAACCTTGTGCAGACCACCCCAATGACTGCTGCTTCATAGCTTCTTCCCATTGGGGTAAATCTTTCCTTTAATCTTTCATCAGCACAAAAGAAGCTGATATTTTAGACACTTTTTTGGTTGAAGCACATGCTTATAAGACATTGTTTGAAATGTGAATTTCCTGTCTTTTATGGACTATCTCTAATGTTCTGTTTGAGCTTTCTATTTAAAATGAACGTTTCCATGTTCAGATTTGAGAAAGGCAAACAGACAAGGACATTAGAGTCTCTTCTCATAAATGCAATTTAGCTTAAGCAAATTCTTTCCATGCTCGTTTCATAGAAAGATAATTGACATACTTTAGAAAACATAGTTCTTCAACATAATTAATTCTCAAGGATAATTAATAGTGAAATTAATTCTTACTTTGCTTTCTCTAAAGTTAATATTATTTTACAAATAACCCCTTGAAGTTTCACCTGTGTTCCTATTCAAATTACATTTCAAAACTTTATTGTATATGTAATTTAATTGAATACTTATAAACTAAGATTTTTACATTTTAATGTAATATGTGTAAACATATGTTGTAGTAAATCATTACAGGTGGAGAACATACTATCTCTAGTAACAATTTCCTCAGTAAAAACAAAACAACAACAACAACAACAAAAAACAAAAAACAAGGGAAATTATGAAACCAAAGGAAAGCTGGACATGAGTATAATAAAAGAGAAACTGCAAACATTTTTGACTAATTTATACTAGCAATTTTCATGATACTTTTATTCTGTTATATTCTTTACCTTTTCACCTTTGCAAATACAATTGTACAACATAGGAAACTTTTATTCCTTTGAGGATCATTTGGTAAGCTCCATAAAATTCTGGGTATGTGTTATTTTAGTCTATGTTTTAGGAAGAAAATTAAAACTTAAATTCACCAAAGATTTCAGAAGAAGTAAAGACATTCATACTGGTAGAACCAGTATGATACAGTTAAGATATACTGTTATGAATTTATAATGAGATATGTGTTAGAATATAGTGCATGTCTGCTGTAAAAGAGGACCTGAGTTCATGCCATAACATACACACAAACACACACACATACGGTCTGGGGACTGAGATAGAGGGAGAGGAGAAGTAAAATTAATTAAAGATTAAAAAATAATAAAAACCCAAACTCTTCTCTCAACAATGGTATGCTTTGTAGATATATTGGATAAATGGCCCCTCTCCCAAGCACTGTTGAATTGTGATATTAATTATATCAGGTTTTTTGGTTTTTTTTTTGTTTTTTTTTCATTGAAAGTATTTGGGTAGTGTCATTGCTTTGCCAAAGAGTTGGATCAGAAAGCAATCTCCTACCTCAACATTACATACATACATACATACATACATACATATTTATATAGAGAGAGAGAATTAAAAGGAAATTGAGTCATTAGCTCAAATAGCTCATACATTACTCATTTTAAGGTTTTATTTTCCATTAGTATAATTAAAACACACCCTTTATCCTGTAATAAATGAGTAAAGAATTTGTATACCAATGAAGAGCTCAGGAACACATAATGTAAAGCCATCATCAACCCTATATATTACTGATTTCACTGAAGTACTTGTGCTAATTAAGAATGACAGCAAAGACAAAATATAAGAGGCCTTTAAGCACTGTTCATTGAAAGCAGTACAGTAAAAAAAACAGGAAAAGAAATTACTATGGCCATCATAATTTCAGTACAACAGATAAAAAAGTCAACAGTATACATTTAAACAGAAAAACACAAAGTCTGGATTAAATTTATGTTTCAAAAATTACATGAACACTTTTAACTTGTTTCAAAAAATAATTACCATTAGTGTTGTAAAATCTACAATCAAGTTTTGGTCTATAATTACTACTGAAGTAATTTTTAGTGCTGAGTGGCAATAACAAAATCTTCTATTTAAATTAAAGAATTTAATCTGCAACCAAAGGACATGTCCAAAACTCTGAGAAAATGGAACATGCAAAGTATATTGGTTCTGAGGGATACTGAATCTTTAGCTCAAAGGACTCAAGTGTTTTTGAGGCTTACTAGTGATAATTTTACTTTGTATAAAAAATAGCTGACTAGGGTTATTAAAAAGTAAGTAAACTGTCTGTATCTTTTACTTTTCTTTCAATTCACTTTTTTGTCTGAGCTGATGTTCTTGGATGCATGGATCACTGGAGACATGGTGGTTCATAAGAATGGATCTTTCCTGGGCTATGGAAGAGCAAGGGCTCTGGACACTCAGTGTTCTGGTTGTTGTAATATTGTCTATTGTTAGAGAGTCAACAAAACAATTGGTTTGTATGTGTGCTATGTCCTCTGTCATGTAAAGTTATTGTACTCTTACATATGAGAAAATTATTGTTCAAAGGGTATTTTAGTTGTCTGTGGCTTTCAGGTTAATTATGCAGGCTTGTTGCGATCTTGAGTGTCCCCTTAGCATAGAGAAGGGTTGGAGACTGATGCTTCCTCCTGGTTAGTAGCTCAGTTCTACTATTCTTCTTTGCAACAGTAGATAACCCAGACAAAATTAAAGAACATTAAGAAATTGTTGATAAAGTGTGTAAGTCTCCATAAATAATGTTTATTCTTTTTTCATGAGTACCTACCCCATAATGTATGTCACTGTCACTCTTGTATTGCTGTGATATATACTTGATCAAGGCACTGACAAAAGAAAGTGTTTAACTCGATGCTCACGGTTCCAGGGGGTTAGAGTCCATGACTGTCATGGTGGGAGCACACCAGCAGCCATGGTACTGGAGCAGTAGCTGAGAACTTATATCTTCTTCACAAGCAGGAAGCAGAGAAAGACAGAAAGAAAGAGAAAGTGGAAGAAAGGGAGAGAGGGAGAGAAACAGAGACAGAGAGAGACACAGAGAAGACTGGGAAAGAGACAGAGATAGACAGACAGAATGACAGAGAGAGACAAACAGAGAAGAGAGAGAGAGAGAGAGAGAGAGAGAGAGAGAGAGAGATTACAGGCAATGGTCTTGACATTTGAAACCTCAAAGCTCATCCCTATTGACAGACCTCCTCAAACAAGGTTCATTTCCTAACCCTTTGAAAACAGTTCCACTAACTGGGGAACAAGCGAACTGGGGGACAAGAATTTAAATCTATGATCCTATAACAACCATTCTCATTCAAACCATAACGATATAGGCCCAATACTTATGCAAGTGTTGATATTCAATGTATCTCATTAGAAAACATTATAACTATAATGATAATTATGTGTCTGTATCTATGTACATA